TGCAAAAGGGGGGGGGTGAGAGCTTCAAGACTAAGCCTTGGAGAGGGGAGGGGCCCTAGTTTGGGTAAAAAATTACAGCATGGCAAAAGCTTGGATGTGGGCCGCTGTTTAGGCGAGAGAGCGCAGGCGAGAACATAATTGCGGCGGTTCAAAGGACCGAGTTCAAGTAGTTCGTTGACCGCTCTACTTGGTTGATGAAGGTCAAAAGGTGGAAGGACTGGAGAGCCGGGGGGGGGGTATTTTCGGAAATTGGAGCTTCAAAAAATAAGCATGAAATAGACAAATCAGAAGATTCGAAGTTTCTTGAGAGATACTTGCCTCCACGCCCGGCTGCCATTTCAAAGGGAAAAGTGGGTGGAGTTGGAGCGTGTCAACTGGTCCCAGAATCAAATGCTATAGCAACAGCCATGGTGATGGGAGTAATGGTGGGAGGGTGAGGCTCGTAAAACAGCTTGAAACCTGCCGAACGCCATGGTTGACCCTGGTCGGGTGAAGGGTAAGAAACAGGAAGGGATGAACGAGCGTGCAGATGTTTTACGCCTAATTGGAATCGAATTTGAATGAAATTAGTCAGACTCATTCCAGACATATGGAAATTACCCGGAAGACGACGAGGCGAACGTGAACCGAAGAGTTCACGATGGCAAAGCTGTCGTCTTTTGGGCCAGATGTGTCTCGGCCAAGACACCTGCAACCGACCGACGGCCGCAGCGACCGACGGACCGCTGGCGCCTCGATCTTTGTCTTTTCGTTTAGTGCTCATGCGCCATATTAGGGAGAACGCAGCAGTCAGCACAGCACTACCATCTGTCCCGATGAGCTTCACTTAGTGCAGAAGTGCCGCTGTCCTTTCGCATAAACGCCAAGGACAACCGGCTGGCAGTGTACAGTGCGTGCATGGGGCGTTCGGGGTCTGAACCCTGTGGAACGCTCCACTTGTAGGAGTCCCTGCTAGTGAGTTCTGCAAAATGATAAGTAGCCCAAAACCACGCAACTAGACCACGTTTCGAACCTAAAGGCAGAGTATGGGAGTAATAAAGTGGCATTTTAATGGGCGCTGAAGCCTGAGAAAACACAGTAGAACAAGTTTCGAACCTAAAGGCAGAGCATGGGAGTAATAAAGTGGCTACTTAGATAAGCGCTGAAGCTTGAGAAAACACAATAGAACAAGTTCCGAACCTAAAGGCAGAGTATGGAAGGAATAAAGCGATTGATTGAATGAGCGCTGAACGCTTGAAAAAATTGACTTTCATGGAAATACTAGAATCGAGAAGTAGTAGGCGCCAAGACAGTAGCCGCGGCAAACTTCGTATTCTGACCGTGAAACGGCTATCAGTGCATGTCCCATTAACGCCAATAAAAGATAATGAGTTAATGTGAGCTAGGCCAGCTGGCGATTGGAAATTGCCAACAGCGTGGAAAAGAACGTACCCAAGGGTTCATGAGATTAAATTCTTGCAAGACAGCGAGAGAAGATGAGAGAGAGACAAAGAGACTGCTGCAAAAGTTTGTCGGTTTGTTTGGGGTTTAATCCGCCGGTAGAGTGACAGTTTGTGACACACGATATGCCACCGCAAATCACCTCCACGCTCCTAGTAGCCAAGATAAACAGTGTGATGAAAGCATTTTTCAAGCATACGTGGCCAGAAGATTTGTCAATTGATAGGACGTATTTTGTTGGTTCGCATGCTTGACCAATCATACTGAACTCTGGACTAAGTTTGGTTCCGTTTACCTTCCGCACGAAGTCTCTGCAGAAGGATGCTAGATACTGAATAATGCGATGACACATTCACAGCGACCGAGTCTTTTAAGAAACTCAAAGAAACACTTGGCGCAAAATTCGTACAAGGGATACACACAAGAAGACAACAAACTCATCTAGTTCCGCTGGATGCGCATTACTAGATACTGTCAAGAGTCATGGATGTCATGGAGTGTTTTAAAAGCCATATCGACCTTTGGTAGTACTAGAAGAAATGGATTCCGCTTCTCAGAATAATGTACCGAATAAGAATATAATAACCTCGGTTTGGGCGTATAAGAGCTTCAGTACACATTTTTTTGCGGAAAATTCAAGTCACTTGATAGAACACTAGCTAGAGTTCTATGTCATTGATATTTCCATGAATGCGCCATGCGTTCGGGTATTGTTGAGGATCATGGAGGCAGATGATGACGAAAGAAGTACTGCGAGAGCCTGAAGCTTCTCAGGATCAGGATCAAATCAGAAGATACGAACAGATAATCACAGCAGTTTTGGCTCTCATGGGATTCGCCATGCTTTCGGCTACGCTGTTAGGAAATCAGGAGCACTACAAGAGCCTACCTCCATCTCATTTGTTGTGAATAAAGAGCCAGCAGAGGCCCTTGAGAATGTACAATGAAGCATTTTGATGGCAAAAATCAAGGCCAGAAGTAACTAACACGAAAAGAGACAAGCACTCATTGGTTCCCATGGGATGCGCCAAGTATTGGGGTAATGTCAAGAATCATGGAGGCAATGGAGTATATTACATCCAGTAAGCCATCGATATTGGTACATGCGAAGCTTTCCCGTCTCAAGCGTTGTTCATGATACAAATGGCCCCAGTGCTGATCCTTATGAACTTGCAATTTAATAGTTACTGGCAGAAATTAAGGTCAGATTTAGGAAGACGTAAGAATCCCGCGTAATGATTCATGAATCGCCGCGATTCCGGTTTAGCTAGTAGTTCTATGTCATTGATATTTCATGAATGCGCCATGCGTTCGGGTATTGTTGAGGATCATGGAGGCAGATGATGACGAAAGAAGTACTGCGAGAGCCTGAAGCCTCTCAGGATCAAATCAGAAGATACGAACAGATAATTACAGCAATTTTGGCTCTCATGGGATTCGCCATGCTTTCGGCTACTGTTAGGAATCAGGAGCACTACAAGAGCCTACCTCCATCTCATTTGTGTTGTGAATAAAGACCCAGCAGAGGCTCTTGAAATGTACAATGAAGCTGACTTGCTTTGGTTCTGTACATGAAGCATTTTGATGGCAAAAATCAAGGCCAGAAGTTACTAACACGAAAAGAGACAAGCACTCATTGGTTCCCATGGGATGCGCCATGTACTGGGGTAATGTCAAGAATCATGGAGGCAATGGAGTATATTACATCCAGTATATCGTATATTTGCAGTACTGCGAGAGTTTCGCCGTCTCAGGTTGTGTCATGAATAAAATGGCCCAGGCTGAGTCCTCTATGAACTTGCAATTAAATCGTTTACGGGCAGAAATTTAGGTCAGATTTCAGGAAGACGTAGAATCCCGCGTAGTTGATTTTTTCATGGAATGCGCCATATCCCCGGGTATGGTTGAGAATCAGAGAGCCGGCTGTCGACACTTGAAGGATTGCACGAGCCTGCTGCCGTCTCAGGATCAAATCAGAAGACGCGGACACTAGGATCAAAACAATCTTTGGCTCTCATGGAATGCGCCGTGTCCCCGGGCGCTGTTGAGAATCAGGAGTATTACGAATGCCATTCGCGTTCCAAATTAAGCCACGAAAGAAATAACCGACCCATGTCCTTAAATTCGGCCCTAATGAAACATTTTGGGAACAGAAAATCGAATCAGGATGAAAAGACACGGGAAGATCTCAGCATTCATCGGTCCTTATGGGATGCGCCATGCCTTGGGGCAATGCTAATTATCATGGAGGTTATTGTTAACAGCCGGAATACTACAAGCAAGAATACTACAGCCTGCCGCCGTCTCGGGTTGCGTTTTGCCTACGAATCTTCGTTTAAGAACGATATGTTTCCAATCATAGTAAAAGGATTGCTTTGTTCAAGTTTAGGCATTCAGTTCCGGTTCCTTACACGAATCTCATTCAACCAAACCGTCACTAATACGTTTCCCATCAATTGTTTTTTCCCTGAATTCGCATTTTATATGCATTTTATATGGGAAATAAAAGAAGATGGCAACTATATGTTGCAATAAAAATGAACGAATGAAAGGAAACCTTTCAACTTATCGCATTAAACAAGACCGTAACGAATACGTTTCCCAGCCATTGTTAGATTTTCTTGAAATCACCTTTAATGTGGGAAATAAGGAAATGTGGAAACTGAATGCTTCACTAAAAATGAAAAAAAGAAGTAAAATGAAAGCAGGCTCGGTTCTGCAGCGGGTTTCCTTCCAAAAGAGACTTGATCAGGTTACTCGAAGTTGTTGGGCCAAATGAGGGCAACGATGATAGCATCGGGCTAGAAATATATTGCAGATCTGAGAGAAGGCTGAACAAAAGGTTGTATGCAGGCTGGCAGTTGTTCTAGGTTCCCGTAGGTTTATGTGATGCACTGAAAAGAAAAAGAATTTGCACTGACGTCGGATGCGCCACGATTCCAGACTCCACCCAATTTTTGTATAGCTGTTTGTAAGGGTTTCAGGCCACCTTGTAGCCGACTGGACGACTGCTACGAATTATTCAAAAGTCCTTATCCTCATGAGCGATTACTAGCTGGATAACACCAGGTTTGGACGGCTCATAGGGGATGCGATCCTTGCTCATCTCATTCCAGCGGAAACCCCACTCTTGGCAACATTTCCTGATATATTCTGCAAGCTTGCACTTTCCAACGATCAATTAATGGACTTTTTTGGCTGCAACGACAGCTTCGCCCAGTGATGAGAAGTGCACACACAAGTGCGCCCGAACCAAAAACCAAAATGAGAATTTTAAACTATGAAGATTATACGCTGGGATTGATGGCATAGCATATATATTGAAACTATTAACCAACCTATAATCTATTAACTATTAGGTGTAGAGATAAAAATGTGCAAAAATAAACAACATAACATAGCAAATTCACAGCCGTCACAACGACGCAATCAGGAGGTAATAGGATCCAAGGGGTATCCTTGGGGTCAAGAAACCCTCGATAATGAATGGGGACCGCATTTCGCAGCTCGAGAGGAGGAGCTTACGGTGATCGCTCGGTGGAGGATTCACAAACGGGGTATTGTAGTAAGTTCGGAAAATAATTAGAACTCAGAAAAATAGGGACCAGAGAGTGCGCAAGTAGAGCGGATGTAGCTCTGAACGTAGGGAGGTAGGCAGGGATAGAGCCTCACAAATTTTTGCAATCGCCGTGACCCCACGACTCGTATGTCGAAAGTGGATGACAGCCCACCTATACATACAAATGAGTGGTCGCATTACACACATGCCTATGGAGCTTCCATCTTTTTCAGGTGTGTTCTATTGGTATCAGCCTGCAGGGTTCCAGAATACTAGCCTACAAGTCCATTTAGTCTACTCCCATCTTCTCCGCCGCCCGTAAGCCAAACATGATCCTCTCAACCGCTTGATGGTAATAAATATCAGTTACCGCAGTCATTTGAAGGCGCAAAAAGGATTTGAAAAGGATAAAAGCATTTGCCGTTGATCAATCCCTTTTGGGATGCGGCACGCATTCTACTTCCATTTGTACATTCGTAGTGGCGTTTGAATGCGATGTGGCCTATACAATGACTTGCGGGGGCCAGCCGATGTACAAGTCAGTGTTTTTATCCTCCCAGACAAGTCTGGTACCAATTAACCGACCCCGGAGGGATGGAAGGCTTGGTTGGCCCGGGCGACTCACGACCCAGGATTTGATCCCGGACCGCTCGCGTGGTAAGCGCGCCACTTGCCACTACACCACTTCCCATTTAAGGATCAATTAGTAATGATGTTCTTAATTGCCACTTGCCATAGACCATTTGTCAGACAAAGTTAAAAGG